ATTTTTCAGGTGCCGACATTCGTCGGTGTTATGCCCGTAATCTTTATGTAATCGACAGTACAGATCGCTTTTGGGCTTTGTCAGTCCATCCTTTCTCGTCCGTGGCCACCTGACGACACTTTCGCGAATCTCTTTCTCCATTACCTCCAATATCCTTGCATTCGAGGCCAGCAGGGGGGTATATTGAGTTGTCCTCCATCCTCTTGATCGCCCCTCCCTTTCTGGCTTCGGGGATCCCTTCCTTTCTACCGCCGTGACTAGTTTTGTATCCTTCTTCTCATCACGGGATTCAGTTTTTGCTTTAGCTGCTTGCAGAAAGTCGGCTTCTGTTTCCTCTACATTCATGTATTTGGCACACCTTCCTAAAACCTCATCGAACGTCCTCCCGGGTCGTTTTGCTAAGGAGTTCCTGCACAATCCTTGGAGGAGTCCTCTAGTGAGTCCACCTAACTTGATTTCCTCCGTGTCCGAGGGGACGTCGACGCACGCCCTTGTGTATCTCGCCACGTAATCCCTCAATGATTCTCCTTCCGTCTGTTGCATGCCTATCAGAGTAAGGTAAGATTTCTCTTGGGCCTTCACACTTGCATATTGGTTTAGGAAACTTAAGCTAAATCCATAAAAGTCCCTGACGGCTCCTGGGGGCAATTGATGAAACCAGTCTTGAGCAGGTCCTCGCAGAGTCGTCAGGAACGCTCGACATTGAACAGGATCATTGTAGCGGTGCAGTACTGCCATGTTTTCAAAACTCCTCAGATATCGAGAGGGATCAGTCGACCCATCGTACCAGATGTTAAGCTCTCTGAACCCCTGAGGCAAGTCGGCATCTAGAATATGTTGTGAAAAGGGGTGTCCTCTCGAGCTCCCCGTTTTTCTCCCCTCGACTCGAGCCTGCAGATCTCGCACCTGAGCTAGCAACTGCTCGAGAGTGTCGTTCCTTGCTTGTGGATTGACAGTTTTGACAGAAGACTCTTCTTCGTCCGCCCTTCTATTCTGTCCTTCGTGGGATTGGGCTTGCTGCTCATGCTCCGAGGGAGGTTGTTCGATTTGAGGTTGCTCGACCCTTAGCCGGTCGATTCTGGGTTGTTCGACTTGCGTCTGTTTGAGTTGGGCAGCTACTGCCTCCGCTATCATCCTCTGCATCTTGCTTCTCGTCATGGTCAGTGTTTGCTCCTCGACTTGGGGTGGCGGCCTTGTTTCTTGCTCAAGTCGCCCAGGCTGCCTCCCCAATTTCAAAGATGTTTCGGTCGATGCATGACCGTCCATTTCTCCGCTCGTGCCATTTACGTGACTGGCCTCCCCTTGAGTGAGCACCGGGATGTTGACTCCAGGTGGGTTTATAGGT